GATTCAGAAGTGTGCGGGACACTTGTTTCCTCCGGCTTGGGTTTCCTTTCTTCAACTCACAACTGCAGAAGAGAGTGTAAATGTGCCGGGCTCAGTCCTGCAGAGCCGCTCGAAGGCATGAATGTTCTGCCGCGGCTGTGTCCTGGGAGGACACGCTGCTCCCCCTCCCCTTTTTGGGGCTGATCCTTTGGCATGGGAAGCGTGAAGGTGACAACCTGATCAGCCATCCTGGCTTTTCCTGGCATAGCTCAATTTGCTTCTCTCTCCCGAAGGGCGAAAGCCCGGTTTGCCTGGAGGCAGCCTGAGCGCAGGCAGGACCGGGCTGCAAGATGCTTTGGGGTGCTGAGAAGTTCCCAAAAGTGTCAAGGGCTTGATTGAACGCTGCCACGCGGTGTCAGGCTGTCCTCCCAGGCAGGGATGCTCATGCTTATTCACTCCCTCACAGCCCAGGGATGGGGACGGTGCAGTCCTGCAGGCTGTACCGGTTCCAGGGACATCTCTGGAGTTCGGGTATGTCGCCTTCCCTTCATGCCGTTACTCCTGTGAACTGGGGGTCTGGCCACAGCACATGTGCCTGCCAGGTGAAGGGGTGATGGTCCTGACGGGCACTTTGCAGTGCAGTGGCCTCAGAATGCAGTTCCCAAGTGTTTAGGATGCTGCGCTGTCGGTATCCTTATAGGAGCACGGGACGGCTGAACTGAGTTTGTCTGGTGGGTTCTCCCCTTGCTCCCAGCTAATCTGGGTGGGAATCGGAGCTCGTGTTACAGCAGCTAATCCCAGTCTATGGAGAGCCCGGCCTCTGAAGGCTGTAATCTGGGAATAGCACCGTCCTGGCCAGCAGGGCTTTGAGCCTGGGAGGCCGTATCGGGTTCAGGGTTTTATTGCCGCGCTGGGGATGCGGAAGCGCACAGGCATGCAGGCGGCCCGCGCAGATGGATGCACGTGTGTGTACTTGGAATAGAGGCAGGCGGAGGTTTGGGCTGAGCATCGTGTTGTGCTCCAGAGATCCCCCAGAGCGAGCACCTGAGGCAGTGATGCCCTCTCCTAGCTGCTGTCCTAGGCTGATGGCTGTGGTGTCCCCAGTGCTGGTGCGAGCCCCAGCTTCAGGGGCTCCCTGCTGCCTAGTTGCTGCCTCTCTGTTAGCGCCGGTGATCTGACACCCCGCAGCCAGCTCTGAGTTTCCTCTCCTTTAGGGGATGTGCTGGGGGCTTTGTGGTGGGTGGTCACAGCCATCCTGGAGGGTGGCCTAAGCTGGGGTCTTGAGACATGGAATGAGCCTATTCCCCTTGTTGGACCATGTGCCTTCCCAGAAGATGCCCAGCCCCACCTGTGCAGCTTCATTGTGGTTTTATGGGGCTAGCCTGGTGTTCCTGCTGCTCTGTTCACCTTGCTGTCCACAGATACCAGCAGGAGGTGGTGGCCCATGCCACAGCGCTGGGATTTTTCTGGCTTTTAGGGAGTTTTCTCTAGTCGCTGTGTGGTTTTGAGATGCAGGGACTTTGGGATCACGCTGATTCTCCCCACACTCGAGAGGCCTTCAGAAGTGTTTGCACTGGGGTCACAGCAGTAGTGGTGAGACCCCGGGTGAGGTCTATCAGGAGACCCATCTCTCTTTCCCCCTGCAGCCCTGGGCTGAAGCAGACATCCTGGGGAGCTGTGCCTGCGCCAGCCGGGTGCAGCTTGGGGGTGGCCTGTGTCTCTGCAGGGGGGGCAGCCTTTCTGCCCTGCACAGACATGGGTTAAATCACTCTCTGCTTTCCTGAAGACAGGGGATCGTCTGTCCCAGGACAGAAAGCTGCCACTGTCTGAGCTCCCCCTTTAGCCAGTGTTTCAGCAAAACCCATGCTTAATTGGGTTTGAATCTCACTCCATCTTTCAGCAGGCCAGCTGGATGAAAGCCTGGAAGGCTGTATAGGTTTGAAGTGATAGGCTAGATCTCCTCACAGGGCCAATTTGGGCCCTGTTTGTGGAGAGATTTGATCTCTCCTGGATGCATGCAGAGCTCCGCTCATTGTTAGTGCCACCAGCTTCCTCTCTACTGGAACAATAGTGCCCTGAGTCCTTCCTGGTAATCTCCCCCCTTATCTGCATTCTCTTCCATAGTCTGTATCTCTGGCAGGTGGGGAGGGTGGGAGGTTTGGGAAGAGCCAATTATGCAGACGGAGGAGTGAGAGGTGCTGTGTCAACCAGTGTCCCTTTTCTGGGGAGCAGCGGCTAATGGAGGATGCTCAGAGCTCATCCCTCTGCGCTCCTGAAAGCCCTGCCAAGATGCTCTATGGTGGGGTCGAGGATGTTCCGAGATACAGGTGGCTGTGGTGGGGGGTGTTACCCCCCTGTTCCTCTCTCTGGCCATGAGCTCATGCTGGCCTTGCCCCTAGGGCTGGGCCAGCATCAGGAGGTACCTGTCCCTGTTGGGGCTGCAGGCATGGGTAAGAACAAGGCAGCCACTTGCTGAGGGTGCTAGAAGTGCCCACGGTGGGGACTCTGGGTGGACTGGCTGACATACTGCCCTGGCTCAAGTGAAGCCGTAGGGAACGAGATGGGGTCCATCCCTTGGAAACACACCTCTCCAGCTTTATTTTGGCATGCTCATGGAAGTGGGGCTGAAGCACGGGGGTCACAGGCCAAGGCAGCTGGCTGCTGCTGTGGGTGGTACTGTTGGTCCGGTGGGGTGGGAGGGTCCCAGTGGGGGCAGCATTATTCCTCAGCCCCAGAAGCACAAGGGTAATTAGCAGCTTGGCTTCGGGTTTTGCATAAGCCACGTGGGCCTTCTGGGGCCCTTCTGCTGGTGAGGAAAGTGCTGAGGAGCCCCTTGCTGTGTCCGCTGCCTGCCGGTAGAAGAAGGCGCTCCAGAGGCAGGAAAAGTAGATGTAGAAAAGCAGAAGGGTGGGGAGGAAGCAGTTGTGGAGCCAGCTGTGATGGGGAGTGCTCTGTAAATCAAAGCACTCTCCTAAAGAGAAAACTTAAGCTCAGTGGTCAAGTTCTGACTTCTTTCTTTCTTTCTTTTCCTCAAGCTACATGATACCATTAGCGGCAGAGAATCCAAGGGAAGGGGGAGGGCTGGAGCAGGGTTTAAATTTGAAACTGGGCGAGGGTACAAAGCCCCTCAGTTCCCCATTTCTGCTTAATGCAGCTGGAGCTGGGCTTGACAAGATGCTGACCAGAGCTTGCGGTAAATGTTTTACGGTACCGTGTATCAGCCAGATCAATTCTACTGCGCTTGAGGGAGTGCAGATAAAATGGCTTAAAGATTCCCCTGCTGAAAGCAATAGTATCATCATTTATGCTAGAGAAGACAGATTTAGTCGCCTGACATTTATTTGGCCACGGTGTACTTTGCAGATTTCCCACCCGGGGATGATAGCCAACCTGATGATGTCAGATGTGAGCTGCAAGCAGGGAAAAAACCACACAAAAAGCAAGTGCTATTCCTCTTCTCAGCCAGATGAGTTTTGCTGTGTCTGCTTTGGGTGTCTTGTTCCATAGATCCCTTTAACAGAAAGGGCTTTACAAGCGTAAGACTAAAATGCCGTGTCCTGCAGGTGCTCTGTGTTACAAAGATGGCAGCAGAAGTATCTTTGTTAATTTAGATAGATTCACAGAATCCCAGAATGGTTTGTGTTGAAGGGACCTTAAAGCTCCTCCAGCCCCAACCCCTGCCCCGGGCAGGGACACCTTCCACTAGAGCAGGTTGCTCCAAGCCCCTGTGTCCAACCTGGCCTTGAACACTGCCAGGGATGGGGCAGCCACAGCTTCTCTGGGCACCCTGTGCCAGCGCCTCAGCACCCTCCCAGGGAAGAGCTTCTTCCCAAGAGCTCATCTCAATCCCCCCTCTTTATCCTGTTTTGCCTGTAGGTCACTTGAACTCCGAACCGAGCAAACATGAGCGCGCTTGATTTGACTTCCATCCTTGACTTTCTGGAAACAGCCAACTTGACGGAGATCAACTGGACGTGCAACAACGGTGACTGCATCACGGTCGATGCGACAACATGCCCTGGCACGCTCAACAAGAGCGCCCTGCTATACACCTTGTCCTTCTTCTACATTTTCATCTTTGTCACAGGGTTGGTGGCCAACTCGGTTGTGGTGTGGGTCAACCTCCAAGCCAAAATAACTGGCTATGAAACCCACCTCTACATCTTCAATTTGGCTATCGCCGATCTGTGCGTCGTCATCACCCTTCCAGTGTGGGTTGTGTCCCTCATCCAGCATAACCAGTGGAACATGGGAGAAATCATGTGCAAGATAACTCACCTTATATTTTCCATCAACTTGTATGGCAGCATCTTCTTCTTGGCTTGCATGAGTGTGGACCGCTACCTCTCAGTTGTCTATTTCACCAATTCCAGCAATCGCAAGAAGAAGATAATCCGTCGCTGCATCTGCATTTTAGTGTGGCTTCTTGCCTTCTCCGTGTCTCTGCCAGACACCTATTATCTCAAGACAGTCTCTTCCAACAACGAGACCTATTGTCGTCCCGTCTATCCAGAGGAGAGCTTCAAAGAGTGGTTGATTGGCATGGAGCTCATTTCTGTCGTGCTGGGCTTCCTTATACCTTTTCCCATCATTGCCCTCTTTTATTTCCTCCTTGCGAAGACCATCTCCGCCTCCAGTGACCAAGAGAGGAAGAGCAACGGGAAGATCATCTTCTCTTATGTTGTCGTGTTTCTCGTCTGCTGGCTGCCCTACCATGTCGCTGTCCTGCTCGACATCTTTTACAGCCTGCATTTCATACCTTTCAGTTGTCAGATGGAGAACTTCTTATATGCCACTCTCCACATCACTCAGTGTTTCTCTCTAGTTCATTGCTGCGTCAACCCCATCCTCTACAGCTTCATTAACCGCAACTACAGATACGAGCTCATGAAAGCCTTTATTTTCAAGTACTCTGCCAAAACTGGTCTCACTAAACTTATTGATGCTTCCAGGGTGTCAGAAGCAGAATACTCTGCTCTTGAGCAAAATGCCAAATGACTGCAACCCCCTGAAGAGACCTCTTGGACTCTCCGACCTTTGTTTTTTGTGTGATGGTTTCTTGGTTTTGTGTGTGGAGTTTGTTTGTGTGGGGTTTTTTACCCAGCTTTCCCCTGTACGTGTTCTGAACGGGGCATGAATTCCAGCCTACAAAAGAGAAATAGCAAACCGTAATTTAAGAGTAGAATCAAGCACAGGAATTGAAGTGGTACCAAAATTAAGCCTTTTATCCTAGCCTGGTCTGGACTTCTCGACAACGCTATGCAAATGGAAGTGACTTTCTAGCAGACAAAGCCATTGTGTACCATAGATAACACGCATTTTTCAGGATAAGCTTTTCCTTCCACATGTAGATTCCCTCTTGTCTCCTTGTATATGTTATATATATATAGTGTGTTGTATTTAAAAGCTCGAGACTTTATTTTCTGGCTCTTGGTGTACCTTATACGATTGTATTTGAAAGTTAAATATATTTTTATCATGTATTTGAGGTGTATTGCTGATGAGTGTATCCAGAGTGCTGTAGTCTGAGTGTTAGATTGCCATTTGGTTTCACCTGTCGTAGGGAAGAGGATGCTGCTGAATAGCAGAATGGAAATGATGCTCTGAGGTGCATCCTTCTTGGCTGGCGCACTTCACTGACCGTAGCTTTGTGGGGTGGTCGTACCCACGTATCTGGAGCATGAAATGTACGTAGTGTGATATAGTTGCCATCGTATTAAAATTAACAGTATTGTAAGAGTTGTTAACTCCTACGCCCGTCCTTCACAAAGCTGTATCCTTATGCACAGAATGAATGATCTGACTCCTGAGAGTTGTCTCTATTTGTAAGTTATTTTTGTAAAATAAAGATGTGGAAAAAACATGGTCTGTGCCTACAAGTGGTCTGATTTGCTGTCCTTTTTGCCAAAGCCCCCAAGCCACCTTCTCTCCTTTGTTCGGTGCAGGAGCAAACAGGTCAGTCTGTGTTCTCCTCATGTTTGTTGACAGTGGGCAGGAACCCTTGATGGAGGAATGTGAGGCAGCGCTGGTGCGTGCCGAGAGGGGAAGGGGTGGGAGGAGCAGCTCTGCCGAAGGCTGTGCTGTTGGGGAAGGTGATGGATTTACAAGGTGAAAGCTGCTGGGAGTGATGAAAGGCTGTGCTTGTAGCTTAGAGATAAACACGTGGAAGGAAAATACGCAAGTATGCAGATGGAGTGGGTATTTGGACTAATCCAGGTTCTGTGGGGTTTGCTTGTGATGGAATTTGGGGTTAGCTCTCCTGACAGCATTAAATCCCTTTTTATTTCTTCCTCTCTTTGTTCTAATCTCACTGAATTTGCAGCACCATACAGGGGAAGTGTGGGGCAAGATTCAGCTGCTGCAGGGTGTATGAAGTCAATCTTTAAGCCACCAAACACTTGAATCGTGGTCACCCTCATCTCGGGACAAGGTAACTGATGTGAAATCAACGATGTCTCACAGCCATCACTGACTTGCTGTTGCTGGTGTGTTTGCAACTCCAGTGCAGTGGTGGCTGCTTTGCTCTGAAGGCTGTGCTTAAATTCCTGTTAAATCAAAGCATGCCCTTGTCCCTCTGAGATCCAAACGGTTTTGTAATGACTGTGTTTTGTTTCTTTCTCCGTGCAGCATTTCTCACCTTGGAGGTGATACTGTAAGAAGAGATGTTTGACAGCGCTGCAAAGTCTACCATCCCGTCCTTGTACTTGGTGCACCTAACGAATCACTGGTCCATCCCCAAATAGAAGAGCCGGTTGCAGAGAAGGCTGCCAGCATAACTGTCACCAGGTAGCTACGCTGTACTTGTCTTTTGTGCTGCTGCTTCAAGGAGAAGGGGATTTTGAGCTTCCCGTAAGCCTTTCTTAAGGTACTGCAGAACTGCAAAGAAAGTGCTCCCTTGTGCTGATAGTTCAAATTGGAGATGGTGTGTTAACACTGAGAAATGGATGTTCCTGATTTAGCTGGGCATTGCTTCCCATGCCCCAGCATCCATGTCTGTATCCTCACCAAAGCTGCTGAGCACCACTCTGTATCTCAGTCCCGTGTGCCCACAGGGGGTTGCTCAGTTTGTAGCAGTGTTAACTATTTCAGTTCAGGTTCTGTCTCAGGCAAAGTGCTGTATTCACCCAATGCTGTACCTGGTTTGGAGGCTGGAGTTGGCAGAACCAGCACTGGGGCTGTGGAAGGGTTGCGTGAGGTCCTCCCTGGGATTTGGCACCACTTCTGTGAAGGTGAGTGGCCCCGCGGTGGCTCTGTGAGAAGGGTGGCAATGGGCAGAGACCAGAGAAGTGGATTTGGACCCCTTGGGGTCTGATCTGAGGGAATTTATCAGCAGATTACAGGTGAGTGAAAACACATCTTCAGGTAGATGTGGCTGTGACTTATAGTGGTTGATGTGGTGGCTGCTGTCACCTCGTTTGGCCAAATGTCCCAACCCAGGAGATGAAGGGTCCCTGCTTCTTTCTGCTGTGATTTTTGGGGCATGATTGATGGGCTGGCTGCCTGTGCCCAGGGATCTCCTGTGTTCTTCTGACAGCTACAGGTGTATGTGGAGGGGGAGCAGGTCTTGCCTTCACAGGGAGGTCAAATTCACTGTGTTAAAATCAGTAAAAACCAAGCATAATGCATGCTGGAGCTAGTCCTTGAGCTTAACTCCTGGGCTTTATGGCTGAAAGCATCCCAGCGCTGTCAGACTCTGTGTAGCTCGGAGGCAGGCACTGAGCAAATACAAATACATCTGCTCGGGGAGAAAGGGTTTGATTTTATTTCTTATATGTAGAAAATGCAGCCCTGCTTTACTGTTACTTAAACACAGAGTTCCTTTTATGAGCCATAAACGATATTCAGGTGTAGCACAGTGACTTTAAATCAGTTCCTCTGGCAACCATCTACATAATGGATTGTAAGGAACGCCTAACTGGCCTGCTTCTCCTTAATTCATCGTTTCAGTGCTGCTGACTTTAGATACTAGCCTTTCATGAGTTCACTGAGCATAAAAGCCATTTAAAGGTCCAAAGAGGCAAGAAACAACTCAGCTGTGAGCAATATTTAAGCACGTGGCGGCGGTGGCTGTGCTGCTAAAGCCAGCTCTTAAACTGCTTCAGAGAGTTTCTTGGTCAGAAGAATTTGCCTGGTCCTTTGGCAAGTGGGGCTCAGTCCCTGTGATGAGGTGTGGGGCTGAGCAGAGCATGATGCAGTGGGATGGGGTTTGGGGTGAACTGACGTGTACCGAGCCCAGGTATTGCTTTTAGCTTCTCTGCTTCATAATGGTGTGTAGTGAAGAGCATCTGAGCCAGAGACTACTCTGATTTACAGTAGGATAATGCTGCTGATTTAAAGGGAGCTATTTGGGATTTACAGGGCTCTTTATAAGTAGGATCAGGAATTTTAGCCATAATCCTGTGCAAATGTACGGGTGTGAGTGCGGATGTGCGCATCAGCATCACTAATGCAGGGTAACACCAATGTACAGCCATAACAGCAACAGAACAGAGAATAACAGTGCGAGTTGCATTACAGGGTTATAACATGATTCAAGCCAGGCTCACAAAGATCCTGTGATGGATAATCCAGCTGTAACCCTAAGCCTGTGCCTGTCTCTTCTAACACCCACTGTCATGAGAAAAATCTGTATCCTTCCATTTTGGTAGTCACTGTTTGAAAACAGTTTACTTCTTATCCATGTAATTCTTGATCTCTTTGGTTTCCTGGGGTTACGTGGAATACTTGCAAGGCCTAAGGTAAAGCTCTACCCTGGAAATGTAACTTCACAATATGAAAGACATAGCAACATCCCAGTGATGCTGTGAACCAAGGGAGACCACCCAATCCTATGGCTAAAATAGTGAGTTGGGTGCTCTTCAGCACTGGCTTGAACCTGCCAGAGGGGAGATTGAGATGAGCTCTGAGGCAGCAGCTCTTCCCTGTGAGGGTGCTGAGGCGCTGGCACAGGGTGCCCAGAGAAGCTGTGGCTGCCCCATCCCTGGCAGTGTTCAAGGCCAGGTTGGACACGGGCTTGGAGCAACCTGCTCTAGTGGAAGGTGTCCCTGCCTGGGGCAGGGGGTTGGAACTGGATAAGTTTTAACACAAACCAGTCTGTGGTTCTGTGAAGTGCTGGGAAACCAACCAGACCCTCTGCACATGCCAGTGGGCCTGGTGCCAATGTGAAGTATGAAATCAGTGCAGCTCACAACAGGTCCAGTTCAGCAGAGGGTCTGGGCTGCTGCGTGTTGTAGCCGCCTTGACATCACCTGGTTCTAAGCCAGCTCTGATGATGGATGTTTTTGCTTCTCGCCTCTGGGTTGTGTTGGGGGGAACCAAGCCCCCGTCATGTTTGCTGTCTGTACAGTGCTATTTCCAGACTAAAGAAAAGAGTTATATTACATTTTAACAGAACAATACCGACAACAGCAAAGGTCAGGAAACTTTCAAGTCGGGTCTCCCTATCGATTGCAGCAGTGAAAGGGTAGACATCAAATGCCTTGCTATGAAAGGCTGAAAAGAAGTAAATTCGGCATGATATATTGAAACCCAAGTCTCTTTCATATGTTGCAGACCCTCTGACATAGCAGGTTTACTGTTCAAGCTGAGATGGGTTGCCTTGCCAACATACATTCTGAGTTACCCAAGCAGATTTAATGTTTTTGCAGTAGTGACTTTTCCCTTTTTTTTTTTGGGAGGGGGGAATGGACACTTTTCTTTGCATAAAATTGTTGCAGAAGGTTTCAAACCTACCGAGGAAATGACCTTAATCCATTTAGTTCCACCCATGAGTATGAAAACTCTCATCTGTTTCTTGCTTTCTCTGAGCATTGTCTCGCTGGCATTGAGCAGAGTGACCCAGTCACAGCTTGATGGAAAAGTGCATTTTGTTTGTTGTTGGTTTGTTGTGGGGTTTTTAACCCACTCGCTCCAGTGGCAGCTACGTTTTGTGCAGGGGGATTGACGTGACCGACAAACGTTTGAGTTTCTAAGCTCCAGGGTCTCAAAAATGCATGAAA